AGGAACTGTTCTGAAAGGCGTCTGACAGCATGGCTGAAAACGTTATGCTGAACAGGGTCGGTGCCAGCACGCACCCTTGCTTGACGCCGTTTGTGACGGGAAAGGCCTCTGAAGCTTCTCCATCATCCAGAACACGAGCCGTCATGCCGTCATGGAACTGACGTACCATCAGGATGAATCTGTCAGAGCACCCAAACTTCGACATGATGCGCCACAGACCTTCGCGACTGACAGTGTCAAAAGCCTTGGTGAGATCCATGAAGATGGTGTACAGTTCACGATTCTGCTCTTGACACTTCTCTTGGAACTGTCAGGCTGCGAAGATCGTATCCACTGTGCCACGCTCTTTGCAGAAGCCGCACTGTGTCTCGGGTAGTAAACCCTGTTCCAGGTGGTCAATCAGGCGATTCAGCAACACACGTGCAAGGATCTTACCTGCAATGGAAAGCAGTGATATTCCTCTATGATTATCGCAGACTTGTCAATTTCCTTTCCTCTTGTAAAGGTGTACGATGGACACGTCTTTCAGTTCCTGAGGAATAGATCCTTGATTCCAGAAGGACTGGAACAACTGAGTGAGTTTGTCGACAAGCACTGCACCACCACCCTTATAGACTTCCGCTGGGATCGCATCAGATCCTGGGGCCTTGCCACTGGACAGCTGGCTGATGGCCTGTAAGGTTTCAGTCTCTGATGGTGAGACATCCAGGCTGTGGTTGATATCCGCCTGGGGCATTCTATCAATTGCCTCGTTATTGATGGAAGATGGGCGGTTCAGTACGGATTGGAAGTGCTCAGCCCAACGCTGTAAAATCAGAGTCTTCTCAGTAATGAGAGTTGCACCATCTGAGTCCAGTAGAGGGGAACTCCCTGAGGGCTGAGGTCCATACAAGGATTTAAGGGCTTCGTAGAACTGTTTGGCATCGTTTCTATCAGCGAACTTCTGGATTTCATCTGCTTTGGCAAGAAATTTTTCAGTAAGAGAGAAAGGAAACAAATATTTTGTTTTACATTTGTTACGAATACTTTCTTCTTTCCTTAAATCACTATGTGTAGAAAGAAGATGGTTAACTGAATAATTAATCTTGAAGTAACTTTATATCCTGTTGGAGACCTTCCACATAAACTATAAACTTTCACACCTAACACATTAATGAATAATCATACACTCATATGATTAATTAATTGTCACAGGTTCTTTCCAAAATCGGCTATACAGTTTCTCTTACAAATGTTTCTCTTTAACTACCGGATTAGTATGATTTGTGAGTTAGATATATGTATTCAATTACACCTTTACATAAAACCCATAGAATTCTACTCATCATTATGACAAACCAGCAGAATGCCTCATACATAGTAAATACTTTAAAACCGTAATGTATCATAGCATATTTACAACAGTTACTCAGTGGAGTGCGGTAGAAGATCACAGATCAGATTAAATCAATTCAGGAGCCCAAGAACCCCAAAATTAGGGAACTAGACTAAATCTTTTATATGCCTTCTTTATTAAACAAATTAGATACACAAATATATTTTATCATTTTCTGTGACGGTAACAAGATTAATACCTATTCATCGTACATATGTGGCATTCTGGGTGCCCGCAATTATATTTCTGATCATTAATACTAATGATTTCCATTGTTAATTTCTTAACAATTTCTATATATGAATAGTGTCTATCTGCCTAGTTACTACTAAGTTACCATGTTGCCAAAGCCCCTCTTGAGGAATTAATTCTGTAATTCTTTGGTGCATCTTGTGGTCACTTATTTCATTCTCAAAATGAAAAAGCAGAAGTCATGACCTGGGGTTAACATTTTGAGTTTGCCAAAAATGTAGCTTTAGCATAACTCTTCACACAAGACCCCCTCTCGGTAGTGGAAGATGCAGTGTCATGAGTCGGTCATTCACGCCCTTGGGAAGACTGGCAAGTTTGCGGACAAGATGATTCTTAACCGCAAAGCCAACTCCAGATTCACGACGTTCGTCACTGCTGCGTCCACGCCAGAAGAATGTGTAACCACCTCCTGTTTCCATGAGCTGACCTTCATTTGCTAGACGAGTTTCACACAGTGCCGCAATATCGATGTTAAATCTTGTGAGCTCTCTGGCGACCAGGGCTGTTCTTCTTTCTGGGCGGTCTGCTGAAGGGTTGTCCTGAAGCGTGCGTACGTTCCATGTGCCAATAGTGAGTGGTGTCACCTTGCATTTTGTTCGAAATTTTATTGTTCGACCGCATGAGATGGGATCCCCTCCAGCCGCGGTAAGCTGGCCAGGGTTCTGTGAAGCAAACAATGTTTAGGGCACCTTTTCTAGCCCCTTCCTCTTACTACGGAGGTGAGCAGTGCAATCCTAAAGAGGGCTGCTCAGTCACTCAGGTAGACGCCGAATCCAGCTGTTGCTTCCACCAGCAAGAAGACGACCATTAGACCTGAGCCGCCTGTGTGCAGGTCCGCGGCTACAGCTCCCAGTGTATCCACACCTGCTGCTTCGTCGCTCGCCCGTCGCCACAGGACTTAGGAGATGTCGAGATGTCAAGACTTGCGCGTGAATTGGATTAAAGTGAGGGAGAGGTGCGCATAGTCAGCCTCACTCTCTCTTCCCAGATTCCATCTTACTCCAATGGCAGGACTAAAGTCGAGACGGTTGGAGATGGGCTGGGCGTAGTGGTTGACCAGGGCATCTTTCATGTCTTGCCGTGCTCTTAGCGTACCACATCGCTTGCAGAAACCACCTTCATGACCGTTGGTCCTATTCTAGTAGGTCTCATCCGCTCGATCCGCTGGAGTCTGTCTTCACATTTACTGTAGAATTCTTGTGAATACACCAGAACATCATCTTCAAGACACATTGGGTGCCAAGCATAGGGCTGGTTTATAGATAATATCCATTAGAACACCGATCAAGAGAAAAGGAAATGAACACAACTTCTTTGGCTATCTCTTAGAAAAAAAGCTTATGAAATAGAAGTTATAGCTTGTCTAAATTGATATCCATATTGTCCTCTGACATTTTTTTTGTACTGAGACTTAGAGGGTATTTACTCTTAAACTAGGTCACAAAACAATTTTGAGTAAGAGCATTCCTCATAGCTAAATATAATAGTAAAATATAAAAGTGCAAGTTCCAGAAGATTAAAAGTGATTAACAATAGCTGAATGGAATCTATGTATTGGTGAATTGAGAAAAGATTACAGCACAGATGGTAGAAAGAAACTGTAATTAAATGGGGTATTGTCTTTTTTATATTTATAATTAATGTGCTTTGGAAATGTGATTGTCTGTTTTCTACTTTGACAAAATTTGCAACAAGTCATATGCATTTCTTTGTTGTGTGCCATTTCTTTCTATGTCTTATTTCCCACTATCTTTTGCCATCTCAGTACATGTAATATATCCCACTGAATTTATTTTTGAAATACATAATTGCTAGCTGCTCAGTAACCTACTTCACACCATTATGCAAACGTGTTCCAGTCCTTTCCCTTGCAGGGTCAGGGAGCACTTCTGAGGTGGAGGTTATATCAGAGCTCTTTTCTCTTGTTAGCTTGTTTCTTTTTGTCAATCCCTTGCCATTGGTTTCTCTTCCACTGTAATTTGAGCAATGTATTATATTATTGCTACAGGTTATGTACTATAAATTTGGGGAAAAAACTAATTTCTCATAGAAAAGTTGAATCCTCTAGTCATTAGTATATAAGTTTATACTGCACCTAGGACAGTGGGGCCCAGCTTTATTGTGGATTTTAGATGCTGCAGCAGATAGAAATGTTGCTGTTAATAGTATAAAATAACTAACAGTAACATTGTTCTCTACCAGTATTGTTTTTTCTGAGCTCTCTTCATACAAAGCAAATCAGAGAACTCAGAATTAAAAACTAGAAGGAAAGTAAGAGGGAAAAGGTGCACAATCTTGGAGACTGAGACAAATACAGATAATAAAATGGAGGGCATCAGAGAGGCACATTTGAACAGCTCTTCCTATGTAAGCTGTGGTTTACATCTAAGTTAATTTAGCACTCTCCAGGTGCAAGTGTAAAGGAGAGAAATATATACAGCTGGTGAAGGTCATAGCAGCCAAGTTAGGTATAGTCTGTCCTCAGTACATGAGAAAAAATTGGAACAGCAAGTGTAATACCCTCAGAGGTCTGAGTAAAATGTATGTCTACACAGCAACATTATTTAGAAATAGCTAGCATTATTTTGAAATAACTTAGTCCATGTCTACACAGTAGGCAGTTATTTCAAAATAATATCGAAATACTATCAAGCTGGAGAACTTTTTACTCTGACTCCTGTAACCCTCGTATGAGGAATAAGGGAAGTCGGAGGAAGAGTGCTCTATTTCGAAGGCACTCCCAATTTTGAAATAAGCTATTTTGAAATAAGCTACGCAATTGGCGTAGCTCAATTTTGTGTACCTTATTTCAAGTTAAGCCCTGCTGTGTGGACGCACCCTTCATGTCCTTTGCTCTGATGGTCACTAGCGACTGACTACGATTCATGCTTTTTATTCCAGACAACTTTTGTGACTGTTCCTATTTCTCATGCAATTTATGTTAAGACTTTAGTCTGATCTTGTTTTATAAGGAAACCTCTTGGTGCTAGTTAGGTGAAGAATTCCTATCCTAGCACAAATACATTAGTGATCGTATAAAAATAAATCCCTATTCCTGGCATTTGGGTTAGCTTGATGTAGGGTTTTGATATGTAACTATTCTAGATGCATGTCATTGGGATGTGCAGTTCTTAGTCAAGTCTTTTCATCAGCAGATCAAAAATTTATCTCCAAAGTACTGCTGTATATTCTATTACTGTATGGTCCTAAGGACACTACAGTTTCTATCATTGTAGAATCAAAAAAGAATAATTTGTTCAAATTTGCTCCTATGCTACAGTATAATTACTCATCAGGCTGTTGCTGGAGATTTCCACATTCTGTTTTGATTTCAGTCCCCAAGAGATGCTAACGTTTTGACTCTGTATTTTAGATGTACAGTTGGAGAAATAACAGATGCAATGAAGAAGGTGTTTGGGGAGCATAGAGCCAGTGACCGAATGGTGAGTGGAGCTTACCGCCAGGAGTTTGGAGAGAGTGATGAAATTCTTCACGCTATCAATAGGTGAGAGTTTGCTGCTAACTCATGAAGGGAGGGAAAGGCCCCATATTTGTGGTGTTTGTGATATCCTCTAAAATCCTTAGACTTTGAGAATATTTGCAGAACAATACAGGAATTTAGATTTGACTTTTTCCATACCTACTTTTGTATCTTGCCCATGTCTCATCCTTCTGTATGTGAACATGAGTACTATACACAGTTAAATGTATAGAGTCACCTCTCCCATTTGTGGACTCAGAGTGCACCTCCTCAAATATAGGACTTCATGCCATTACCTGTTGCAGGGTAGACAAGGCCTGCCATGCCAGGGCAGCCTCCCTCACAGCTGCGCAATGCTGTCTTTGATAGAGGTAGCGGGGGGAGGGAGCAGGTGGCACTGCGGAGCTGATGCTGGGGGGAACCAGCTTTTAAGCCGGCTTCCCTCAACACCGGCTCCTGCTCCCCCACCTTGTAGCTTCTGATAGAGGCAGGAAGGGGGTGGAAATGCAAGTAGTCAAGAAAATTAACCAATAAGCCTAGGCTTATTTGTTAATCATCTACTTGACTACTCATTCGCATCCCTAATCTTAATTGTTCCGAATCAATTGATGGTAACCCTAGGCAGGGTTAAGTTCTTCAGAGACTCCCAGCCTGTGCCTGTCTCTCAGCCAGGTAGCCTTCAGCAAATACCCCCCTCTCTTGAGAGAATGTCCTTTTGAAATCTGCTTGAATTCTTTTTGCTCTTCTGTGTTCTTGGCCTTTTTCTCTTCTATCATTGTCTCTGAACAGCTGTCTTATAGTTGATGATGGGTAGTTTATCCTGAGTCATTTTTTCCAAGGAGTCCCCAGTTAAACTAAACCAATATATTCATGCAACAAACAGTAGTATTCGTATTAAA